GTCCATGATGGGTGAGTTCGAAATGACTGATCTTGGGCTCATGTCATATTTTCTGGGCATCGAAGTAGTTCAAAGAAGAGATGGGATTTTTATCTGCCAAAAGAGGTATGCTGCTGAACTCTTGAAGAAATTCCATATGCAAAATTGTAATTATGTAAGAACTCCTGTGGAAGTTGGTACAAGATTGTCAAAAAATGGAGAAAGGGCACCGGTTGATTCAACTTATTTCAAACAAATTGTTGGGAGTTTGAGATATCTTACATGCATAAGACCAGACATCTCTTATGGTGTTGGCCTAATTAGCAGGTTCTTGGAAAATCCGTAGCAATCTCATATGCAAGTAGCCAAGAGAATCATGAGGTACTTAAAAGGTACTCTTAATTATGGTTTGTTTTATTCTTCAATAGACAATTGTGCTATTATAGGCTACTCAGATAGTGACTGGGCTGGAGATCTAGATGATCGGAAAAGCACCTCTGGATACTATTTCAATTTTGGTGCTACCAGTTTCTCTTGGTCATCTAAAAAGCAATCTGTTGTTGCTCTATCAACCTGTGAAGCAGAGTATGTTGCTGTAGCATCAAGTGCATGTCAGGCAATCTGGTTGCTCAATTTAATGAACCAGATTTATGCTCCAATGAAGGGACCAATGAAGATTTTTGTTGATAATGTTTCTGCAATAGACTTGGCAAAGAATCCTATCACACATGGAAGAAGCAAACACATCGATGTTTGATTTCATTTCTTGAGAGATCAAGTTGGCAAGAAAGCAATTGAGCTGGTTTACTGCAAATCGGAAAACCAAGTAGCAGATATCCTCACCAAACCTTTGAAGTTTGAAGCTTTTATCAAATTAAGGAGTATGCTTGGAATGACTACTTTGTCGGATCAGGATTAAGGGGGAATTGTTGGTTTGATAATCTTGATCCCATTGTTGTTTTATTGTCACCTATTATCTAGGAACCAGTTTGTTTATTAGCTACTCTTTAGGACTTAGTGCAGGACGTGTCAATCTGCATGTTATCCATGTGGCCTTGTTTTTAGGAGTTAGTTGCTATTTATTTGGTTGTATTGTTGATGTCTTCTGCCTATATAAAGGCTGTTATCAGTGAAATAAAATGGTAGTTCATATCAGAAAAATATTTCAGTTTAAAACTCCTCTTGCTGTTGCATTTCCTTCTCTTTCTCTATCATTTATGGGTTTCAACTTTTAAATATGTTGTTGAATAATTTATAAATGTTAATATTTCATATTAAAAAAATATGAAAACTTAAAAAAATTTATAAATGTATATTTTTTATGAATAAATAAATAAGTAAAGTGAAATCTAAAGTAAATTGGACTTTGTCCTTTTTATATATAATGAAAGATGGGCACTTGGACACCTTAGAGCTTGACTTCCATAATATTATTTTTATTATTTTTGAATTTTTGAATTTATTTTATTAAATTCAAATTTGAATAGACATGTCTGAAAATTAAACATAATTTTTAAAAATCTAAAGGTATCTCTATAAAATTGTATCTTTTTATAGAAATACATCTCTACAAATAGTGACTTTCAAGTAATATAAATTTTTATGCAAAATCAAAATTCTACATTTAATTTTCTTAAAGAGTTTTAAGATTTATTATATTTTGAAAGATTTTTAAATCTTTAAGAAAAATGAGATTACGGGTCTCAGAATATTTATTTTCATTTTTCTATAATTTCGTATTATTTCTTCGTTAGTTTTCACTGGGAATTGTTTACTTTGTTGGCAATTTGAGTTTGGGCCAAGGGGTGGGTCTTGAAAGAGAAATGTGCTAACTATTCGCATCCAAATCCAGATATTGTTCAATCAGCATGGAGAAAGGCCAATGCATTATGTCATTATGATACCAATCAAATTGAAGATTGACACTCACAATCATTGACACAATTGCAAGCAGCTACAAAAAGATCGTGGTGAGGTAAACAATCAAGCCGGACAATCCAATGATTTAAACCAATCAAGCAAAAAGGGGTTGTAAATCGTGTAGGTGATCCATGTCGGGTGACAATCCAACCCGTTCAACAACGGCCTACCATGACTCACGAACTGAGTTTTGATAGCTGTCCAATCGCTGTGGGCCTAATTTATTCATTATTCATTAGTCAAATCACTTTTTAAAATAAAAGACAAAAATTAAAATATAAAATCCTAAGGCAGTGAAAAATCTTAAAGGAAAAAGATATTTAAAATTGAGTTTAATTAAGATCTTGATTCTCAATTTAGTTAATATACAAAAAATTCATTTATTATATTATAATAATTCTTTATAAAACATTTAACTAAATTCTAATATTTTTTGTATTTTAAATAATACTTGTAATAAAAATATTATAAATTGTATTAATTATTACGTAAAATTATAAAGATAATAAAAAGTTAAATAAAATAACTTAAAAATTTATTTAAAAATAGAATATTTTAAAACTTTAAAACTAGAAGAATTATATTATATTATATACGTATCTATCAAAATGAAAATTTTCAAAAGTTGAGGGGGGCGGCTGGCCCGCCGACATCCCGTCCCTCCGCAACCGCGCGTCCACCATATCTTTGAGGAGTGAAAAAGAAAGCCAAGGAGATTACGAAAGGGAGTGAGAATCGAGCGATTAGTTAAAAGGATTCGGGCGTTTTCGAACGTAACGACATATTAAGTGGGCGTCTGTGCTCTGCTCTTGCAAAATGTCTATAATTACCATTAAATCCTCAGTTGTTAATCATAATAAGTTTGCTTTTTGGCAAACAACTGATTGTTTAAGATTGTCAGAGGCACCATTTCTCCGGTTATTCTTTATATTTCTTCCCTCTGAACTTTCAATTTCGTCAACTCAAAGGCAACCAAGGAAGAAATGAAGCACTCCCACCATCTTAATATAATTGTTTTTATAAATTTAAGTTTGTCTTAGATAAATTATTATTTTCTCATTTTTTTATAGATAAATTATTCTTCAATCCTTAATTTAAAGTAACTTACTTACAAAACATAGTATTAAAGAATAAAAATAAAATCTTAAAAAAGTGAAAACATATAAATTAATTAAGTTTTTGTATATTAATGATTGACTTAGTAATGATCCCCTAAGAAAGTAGTGTTTAAAGTATCAAACTCTTAAATTCAAATCCAAACACTCACTCCCCCAACCCCAATCCCAAGTTTCCCCGGTTCAAAAGAGAAAAAAACCAAGTTTTGCTCTCTCTGGCGGCAGAGATTGATCAACTTAAACAGGATCTCATTCAAGAAACTAAACAATTCTCTTTTCAGCAAAGAAAAGAGACTATAACAGTGTACTAATTACCAAGAGAAGAAAAGAAACGAAAACAACCATAGCATTCTATTTCAAACATCAAGCAAATATATACAGCGCGCAACTGCTTGAATTTTTTTTTCCCAGCAAACACAGAGGAACCTTGAAATATATTAACAACACAGATCGAAAAAACATAAAAAACAAGCATCACCTATGAATTTTTCGAGGGGGGCCACCGTTAATTGCCACCACCGGGTACGTAACCGCAATTACATGGCCCAGAAGGCGGGCCAAGAACTCTTTCTTGCGGGACCGGTCTGCTACAACCCCCATACAAGATTTGGTTGGCAATTATCAAGATGATCAGAAGCACCGCCACTTTACCTGTCATCCTTACGGTTCTTCTCTCCATTTTCATTTTTGTCAAATTCACTGAAACCTTGTTGCCTGGCTAATATATAGAGCTGGAAGATGTTTAAATCAATTCGTATTCGTCATGGTCGCGCGACTAGGCTCGCGATGCTCGCTCGAGACGATCAATTTACATTCGCGCGACA